GTCTGGGCTCTCGGTGGGGACAAGCACAGATCCAGGAGCTGCCCCTTACGGTAAAAATGAGGATAGCCTCAAAGAGGCCTCTATTGATCCCGGTGCCCAGCCCTCCCTGCTCGCCAGTTCTCACTGGAGGGTTAATCCTTCCGTCTCCTTTAATGGCCCACAGCCCCTCCTTGCTTGCTTGCTTGCTCGTTCCTGACTTTGGACAGGCTGTAAATCCAACCTGAAAATAGCCTCTAGCTGCACTCCAGACCTTGTAAAATATTTATCCCTCTCCCCACCCACCCGTCCGGCTCCTGCAGCAGCATTTCCTGCTAAGAGATGATAAAGCAAGAATGAATCGATGTGATGAATCGATCCAAGCGGAATGGAGCCATCTCCGTAAAAAAGGCTGATCACGGAGGGTCCCATGCAGGGTGCTGGAGAAGGAACCACCCGATTGTAGAGGCAGGGGCGCGCTCTGCACCAAAGAGGCCCCACTTCGGGTCTAAGCTGCCGAGAGCTGCACTAGCCGTGGCCAGCATCTTGGAGTTGCGGCCGGGCAGCTCCATGGAAACACCAAGCTGGTGACGGCCGCTGAGAGAAAAACAAGTGCCGTGCTTCACATAATTAGGAAAGGCATCAGAAATAAAACTGCCAAGATCACACGTCCCTTACACAACTCTCTGGCGTGACCACACTTAGAAGGCTCTGCACTGTCTTGGTTCCTGCACCTCAAAAAGGGTATCGTGTGGCTGGAAAAAGGGCAGCTAAACTGGCCAGGGGCCTGGAAGATCCTGTGAGCAGAGGTGAGGCTGCTTAGGCTTCACCTTTGAAGAAGGAAGAAGGCGAGTGAGTGAAATTGTGCCCAAGGTGTGCCGAATTATGCCTGGTATTGTCGGTGCATGCGCTCAGGTGAGATTCCCAGGTGCACACGGAAGATGGAGGGCTCTGGTGGGAATGGCGGCCCGGACGCAGAGGAGGGGGAGCGGGGAGCCGACCCTGCCGTGGCTCAGAGTCCTCACTCTGATATGGGAGTGGCTGAGACTGGCGAGGCCCCGGCTGCCCAAACTCTCCTGGTGAGCCAGCCTGAGCCCGCGCTGGATTAAAGCCCTTCAAGGACGACCACCGTGCTCCCTGACACTCCTGATTGTGGGAAAGAAGCTGGAAGGGAACAGGCTGGGGAGGGTTCTCGGGAGGAGAACTTGACACCCCAGAAGACGTGGACGCGAGGGCCTGTTGACGCACTGGCCGGCTGGACCAATCGGGCTTGAAGGGAAGAGCGTCGGCATGCCCGCTTCCATAGCACCTGCGCCCAGAGACCGGCCCCGAAGGGCTCATAAGCAGAGCGGGGGGTCTGCTTTCTACCTGAAGTGCGTGTTTCGGAGTTTGTGAGTACCTTGGTAGCCGTGTGGAATGAAGGCTATTTGCTAACTCTTGAGGTGCTTGCCTCTGTTGGGAAGGGCCGGCCGGCTGACAGGTGTGAGGGATGTGGAGGAGAGGGCTTTGTTCTCCTTTGTAACCCTGGACCCTCGTGGCATCCTCCATGGTGGACGGGTAGGAGGTCTGAGGCTGTCAGAACAAGGTGCCCCCATCCACTTGTGGGTTTCCTAAGGGGAGCAGCTGGTTGGTTATTGTGGGGACCGACGCTGGACCTGACGGACCTCGGCTGGATCCAGCAAGGTTCTTTGGGTGTTCTGTGAGCGACGCTTGCAGTGTATGGGCTACAAGGATCAGGGCAGACCCAAACCAGCGAGGCTGCTGGATGCGGATTGAACCCCGGTGCAGAACCTCTCAGTCTGATGGCCAATTTCCATTCCAGAGATTCCCCGAGGGCTGCATCCTGCTGGTGGGTGGAGCCAAAGGCAAAGGGGAGGGGCTAGCCGGCATGCAGGTAGAGCTCTCAACCCCAGTAACTATTAGGAAAGGAATTCTTGCCTTTCGGAATGAGGACAAATGTTGGGAAACCGGCAGATGATGCTCTGCTCCGGGAGGGGAGGGGGGAGCCTTCTGGGAAACTCTGGAAGGGCAGACTGGGACCACAGGGCTGAAGCCCGGCAGCCCATGGGGCAGGCTCCAGGGAACAAGAAAGCCAGGAGCTTCCTGCGGGCAGCCGGGCCTCTCTCGGAGGCTGGGCAAACAACGGAGGCCATCGTGCTGCAGGTGTAGGGCCATTAGAGCTGGGTTCAGACACCCTCGAGGGCTGAGGGTGGGCTGTGGAAATATGGGTTGCCTGAACTCAGCCGTGGCTTTTTCATCAGAAGCAACCCATCAAGAGAAGCTGTGGTTTGCTATCTCGGCTGGGTTCAGACAATGCAACAGCATGTATTTCACCAAGAAGCCATGGTTCAGCAACAACCCACTTTCAACCCAGACTCAATTCCTCTGTGGCCTAAACCCCATCACTGCCTGCAGCACTTAAAAGATTCGGGGCAGGGTCTTAGCACAGAAACCTGCATAAAATATGCCAATGTATACTATGCAGATTTAGAAACAATTGCAAAAATTCTTTAAAAGACATCATGAGAAGCAAAACTACTCAATTAGTTTCTCCCCCAAATCAACTCAAAATAAATCCATCAGTTAATTTGAGCCTTCCCCTCCAGGTCACGCCACACATGACTTCATCAAAGTCATGCAAAGTTCTGGGAACCAAGATTCAGGGTGGATGCCAGGAAGCACTTCCTGACAGTCGGGACCTCGAGGGTGTGGAATGGGCTTCCCCGGGAGGTGGTTGAGGCCCCATTGGTGTGGGTGTTCAAGGATAGGCTGGACGTCCACATGGTGGGCATGTCGTGAGCGGAACCAGCTGGAGCTGGGGGTCAGACTAGATGGCTCGGGAGGCCCCTTCTGACTCGCTCTGCTTCTATGTTTCTAAGTCCAGAAGTGAACCAGAGTCTGGTTCGAAGCAAGTCCATAAAGAAGCCAGTCCTCTACAGTTCCAGGAAGCTCTGTTAGTTAGGAGGCAATATGCAAAGATCTTGGAGGCCTCCTTTGGAATGAGGCATGAGAGTTTTCACATGCCATTGCTTGGGAATACAATGGGCCAAAAATCTAATTTAATCCACAACCTGCCGGGGGTCAGACTAGATGGCCTGGGAGCCCCCTTCTGACTTGCTCTGTTTCTGTGTTTCTATCTTACATGTTCCTCAGAAAAGGCCTACACAATGGAAAATGCCCCAGGGCGGAGGCTGCAACATGTGGCAAGAGGGAGAATTAGCCTCCCCTCCGAGAGCAATTAAGGTGTGTGGAAAATGCATCTTCTGATGGATGCTCTAGACTCAGTGGAACAGATTAGGACACCCACCGGCCCTTGAAAAATGCTCAGGGCTGCAGCTCATCGCCCGGTCCAGCAACGCTCCAGGTGAGAGGTCTCCTCTTTGATCCACCATTGGTCTTCTGGCTCCTTGCAGGACTGGTGAGCACTGATAGTGCCCATGACTCACAATGCCCATCTCAGAACCTAGATTATTCCCCAGGGTGGCCCAAAACATTTTGCTGGACACATACTACACAAAGCTGGACCGATTAGTTTGGTGGGGAAGTCCATAAGCAGCCCAACAACAACCACAACCACAACTCACTGACTTGTCATGGCACCCCTAATGGGTTGCCTGAAGCAAAAGCAGCCGCTGCACCGGGCCTCGTAGCGAAATTAGCCGGATGGACACCCTCCACGGTTTGTTTCTGACTTTCTACAAAAATGGCTGTTCTCCCAACCCCGCCCGTGCACAGGCCATATCATAAGGAGAGCTGGATTAGGATCAGAGGAAGACGTGAAAATTGGGGGAAGACACTTCGATACATTAAGAAAAGCAAATGATACCATTTCAATGGCAAAGCGTGGTGGCGGCTTGGGACAACGCCTGACGAAAGTCCAAAAACTGCAGCAGAACATCAAGGCAACCAAAACCGTGACTGCAGAAGAGTTACAGGACTGTTCACAAGGGGGAAACTGTACTGCCCTCTGTCCCCAATTCGAAGGGAGGCTGCAGCCAAGCCGTTTGAAGAGGACAGAGGCTTGGAAGGGCAGCACTGGAGGTGCTAGGAAAGATCATCAAGTGGAAGGATGTTTCGCTGGAGACCAAGGCCAAGCACATCCACACCATTATACCCTAAGCACTGCCTGATCTTAATATATTTTCCTGAATACTTCGTTGGCCACCCTCTTAGTCCATGAAGTGTGTAACTTACTCCTCACAGCAGCCTTTTCTTAACAATAATAAAAACATCCCTGTAGAATGGTGAGCATTCCCAGCAAACCCTACTCCAAGTTTACACTTTCACTACTCCAGGTCCATTATTTCGGCAGCTTCACAGTGGTACACGTAAAGTGTGAGAAGCAGAAATGCAATCAGCCACGTGGCACTTTCAAAGGTACAACTGCAGACCATTTTGTGAACTGGCATCCACCTCGTGGCACCTGTGAAATTTAATTCGGGTGGTTGTTTGCCCATAAACATGAAGCAGTTGGTAGCCATTTACACCTCATTAGGATCTTACCAGACAAATTCAGTCCCTGACAATGCAGAAATCAACACATGGCAGGGAGAGCCACATGGCAGTGCTGCTGTGCAGGTCAGCTTTCCCTGCTTATCTGGGACGGCACCTTTATTTACGTCCAGGGAGGAACCCTTGGGGCACACCTGGTCATTGCAAAAAGCACTCTGGGAACCAGCACAAAATGGCTCAGCTCACCTGCATCCAAAAAAGACAGCAGTGGGGTGTGAACTCCAGTCTGCTAAACCAGGGCTTTGAACCCAGTTCCAAGCACCAATGAAGACCTGTTTCAAGGCTGCTGCTAAGAAAATGGCTCCATTTTAAGAAACAGGAGGTGCAGGGCACACAGGTGAGTCCCAAGAAAGGTGCACAGGTGTGGGATGGCACCTGAAGGCCCCACCTGACCTGTCTTTTCACTCATCCTTGTGCATATGCTCGCACACACATTTGTAAAGCCTTTTGTTTATTCAAAACAAAAATGCACCAGAAAACTCCCAACAAGGTGAATTAAGCACACTCTGATATTAACTAGGATATCACCACTTAGGTTTCTTTATTAGATTTATACCCTGTCTTTTTTCTTGCAACAAGCTCAAATCGGCTTCCATCGTTCTCCTCCTGCTGCTCTCCATCTTATCCCCTCAACAACAGCCCTGTGAGGTAGGTTGGGCTGGGAGTGTGCCTGGCCCAAAGTCACCCAGTTGGCCCCATGGCTGAGCAGGGATTTGAACCCGGATTGCCTGACTCCCAGTCTGCGCTCTTCACCACTCCACTGCACGGGCTTTCTTCTTTCTCCCCACTTTCTTCAGCTGACACTTCTATATGGGTGGAGGTTTTGTTTTCTGTTTTAATTCGGGGACATGTTCTGAGTCATTCTGGGATAGTCTGCAAAAAATATGTCCTGCTTCTGTCTCCATCACCTCTGACTCATAAGACAGAGGGCTCGGGGTGCCCGTTTCTGCAGCTGCTTGGATTCCGTCCTGCACCGGAGTTTGCTTACAATGCAGTGCTGAAAAGCAAGGCTCTTCGCCACAGCGCCAAAAGGCACAGGATGGCTTCAGTTCTGCGCCCACTTACCTGGGAGCAAGACTGCACGACCTCAGAGGGCTTCCCTATGGGTAAATGTGGGGCCATGCTACAGCGATCACTGCTTCCGAGCATCTCGGGTCCAGAGCTCGTGCAGGGGCCCCGGCGGGATCCGGGCAGACTCAGGTTGGGCTGTTTCAAAGCAGAGGAGTTGAGACGCTCCCATCCTGAACTGCATGTGCGGACTCTTTGGGGCCAAAGTGGGCAAGTCCAGGAGCATGGATTCTGGAGTCACGGCTCCCAGGAAAGTCTGCGGGAGAGGTGGGAACACGAGCTCCGGAAGCTGCAGGCAGGCCCTGGTGCACCTCGCCAGAACAGGATGTGATGCAGGTCCCATCTCAGAACTAAGAGGGCGTTCCCCATGCGGCAACACCAAGGGCAGGGATGGCGGCAGAGCCCCGTCCAAGCCGGGGGCGATGGGGGCTGGCTCTTGGGGGCGAGGGTCCCAGTGGCTCTCAGCCACTTCCACACGCGCATGGCCCGGAGCCGGCCTCTTCCGGCACGTCATAGCAGGCTGCAGAGTGCACCGGCGTCTTCCGAATGGTCGCAGTTGTGCACGTTCCAGCGGATGTGGGAGCAACGCAGGAGGGATGGCTCGTTCCCTTTGCACTTGAGGTTGTCGAGGAAAATGTAGCCCGCACCCTGGCCGTACCGGGCCTCCCCCGAGGCGGCGAGGGCGCCCCCGCAGCCCAGCTGCCGGCAGACCACCTTCACGTCGGTGAGATCCCAAGCATCGTCGCACACGGTCCCCCACTGGGACAGGTAGAACATCTCCACCCGGCCTTCGCAGCGGTGGCTGCCGTTGACCAGGCGCAGGAACCCTGCAAACGGGCCGCGGGGGGGGGGGGGCACAGGATGAGAACGGCATGACTTTGGGAACGGAGAGGGGCGTATCCCTGACCCTTGTTCTGAACCCACAATCGCAGTGACCCTCCACAGCTCTGTGGCTAAGTGCAGGTGTGGAACCCCATGGCCACAACCAAATCCAAGTCTCCTGTGTTCTCTCTCTCTCTCTCTCTCTCTCTCTCTCTCTCTCTCTCTCTCTCTCTCTCTATATATATATATATATATATATATATATATTAAAAAATAAATAAATAAATAAATTCTGTGCTATCCAATAACCAAAGCCCTCTGGGCGACTTGCAACAGCATATAAAATTCAAGTAAAAATAAAGCATCATAAAATTATACCACACCCATTAAAAACCAGACCTAACACCAAATGTAACAGCTACAATACCAAGTGCAAAAGACACATTCATACGCAAGATCTTAATTAAGCAGCTGATGTAATGCCCAGTACACTGATTCGAGGTGGCTCAGTGCCCTGTGGTAGAGGACATCCTGGCATCGGAAAGATGGCAGAATCAGTGCAAGGAGGGTCTCAGTGGGAAGCTTGTTCCACAACTCGGGGGCTGCCACCGAGAAGGCCCTTCCCCTCATTGCGACCAGTGGCGTGTACCCTGAATTTCACGAGTCTGGAAGGCGTTGAAAGTGGGCTGGGCAGATTCCTGAGGGAGGGGGTGCACCGTGGCTACTAGCCTGGCTGACTAGGGCTACCGGCTTCACCAATGTCGTGTCTGCACACACCAGCTGTTGAGAAACTTGGGCAGGTGGAGATCCTGCTGGGAGGATCCTGCAGGCAGCTGGTTTGCCACCGTGTGTTCTCACTGTTGTGCCTGAGTGGGCTGCACTTGAAGAAACATCTCCTCAGGCATCGTGGTCCCGACCACATATGCATTATAGTTTAAAACCAGTACCTTGAACTGGGCTGAGGCAAAGCAGCAGCTCATGCAAGCGGCCAGAACTGGGGTGCTGCACTGGGACCTTCTGGTCCTGGTTATTAAGCTTCTTTGGCGGTTGTTTGATGGCTTGCTGCCTTTTGTGCCGTTTTGCCCCAACCTGAAAGTCTGAAATGGCTCTTTTAAGACTCAATCTCCACCAGGAGAAGTTTTGCGTTATAAGATGCAGGTATTCGAGCATTTGGTCTTTGCACCTTATTCACCTTTGGTTCTGCTCAGCTTTCAACTGCACCTCTCCCATTTGACCACTCCTCCAAAAGGTAATTTGGCCTGCAGGCTGAAAAGAGTTTTGCAGCCCCTCACCTAAATGTTTGGGGATGCTAAGCTCAGGTTGATTTATTTATTTAAATGTTTGGTATACTGACCACTACAAAATAGTCTTGGGATGGTCTTGCAATAGAACAAAGTAGAGCACAGCATCCCTTCTATGCAGTGAAACCCCACTGAAAATCACAATCTAAACCTTAAATACTGGGAAAATAAAAAGGGGCTCGCCCGGCACCAAAAAGAATAAAGTGTTGGCACCAGGCGAACCTCTCTGGGGAGTGCATTCCATAACCGGGGCGCCAATGCAGAGAAGGCCCTTCTCCAGATATCCACCCTCCTAATCTCCTTCAGAGAGGGCTCCCGAAGGAAGACCTCCAACCCAGATCTTAAGGGGAGGGCAGGCACATAGGGAAAGAGACGCTCCTACAGATATCCAGGGTTCAGACATAATAACCCACGCTCAAGGGTAGAGCATGGGTTGCCATTAATCATGGCTTGCTGCTGAAACGGAAGCAATTGTGTTGTTTAAACTCAGCATTCACAACCCAGCAACAACAAACCAGGCTCTTTTCAAGGGTTCTTGGTGGTCAACAGGCCACAGCCTGCCAGCACAGCTAGGAGTGGGCACCACAATAACCCACAGTTTGACAACCACTCGCATGCAAATGGAGCGCCATTCAGCCAGTCTCAGACCTTAGCCAGCTCAAGTCAAAATAAAACCTTTTCAGGTGTGAGAAACACCTGTCTCAGCTTAATTTCCCCCCAGAATTACTGCCTGCACTGAAGCTCTTGGACCCACCGGAAAAAGCGGGGCAAAGGGACACCCCGGGATTATATTCCCCTTCCTTCCTCTTCCCAAACTGGTGGATCACAAGATGGTATCTGCGATGCCCAGAGCAGAAGCCCCTGAACCTGTCATGGTCATGCCGTCTCCCTCAAATCAAGGTCCTAGACCAGAGGTGTCCAGCCCATGTGCCGTGGGCCACATGTGGCCCAGGATGGCTATGGATGCGGCCCAACACAAACTTGTAAACTTACTTAAAACATTCTGAGTTCTTTTTGAGATTTGTTTGTAATTCAGTTGTGTGGTTCTCGAGCTTGAACTTTGTAGATGACAATGTCGTGTTGCAGTCACATAAAATAAACGTATGTATGCTCTTGCTATTTGTACGCATGTGTAACTTCAGTTTTAGGGCAGTGTGCAGCTTCCATTTGTGAGCAACTATTTTCAAGACTGAAGCACGCTAAGAGTAAAGTTAGAACCAGAATATCTGATGGGCACCTTGAGAACTCACTGAGAACTTCAACTACTTCCATCAAACCAGATACTGATGCATTAGTTTCTCAAGTACAATGTTAAATATCCCACTAGTTTTATGTTGCCCTCTTTTACTTTTACAATAAAAATATCAAAAATCAATGTTTTATTACTCAGATATGTTCATTTTCTATATTAGGGATTGCAAACTTGGGACCTGCTCAATGCTTTTAAAAGTCTCTCCAAATAGGGCATTGCATAATTAGGATTATTTTGTGAGGACGTCTTTGCTTATCTATGGTGGCAGATATCACAAATATCATGCACAGTCCTTTTTTTTTTTTTTTGCTCATCAGCTTTTGTTAGTGTTTGTGTATTTAATGTGCAGATCAAGACAATTCTTCTTCCAATGTGGCCCAGAGAAACCAAACGGTTGGACACCCCTGTCCTAGATGGTCACCCACCGCTCCAAACCAACCCAGGCAGCCTCGGCACAGATGGGGGAGCTGCTGGCCCTGTGCCCCACATACCATCCTTGGGACGAGTGGTAGTCGAGGTCGTTGTCATGAAAGTGTCATCTGAGAAGAAGTTTCCAGATTCACCTGCACCTGGGACCAGGGAAAAGTGTGCTGTCTTGAAGAACAAGGGGATGCATTGCGAATGCAGATCAAAAGACGTTTTTGGTTACTCTTGGAAGTTTCAAAAAAGAAGGAAAGCCAAGACCTGCGTCTGGGGGGCATCCTTCACAACAGTGCTGTTCTGTTTAGACCACCGCCTTAAAAATCCAGGCGCAGTGTTTTATACCACTGTTTTTGAAAATTTTAGAACCAAGAGCAAGCACAATGCATTCTGCTGAAACTCACTCTCCATTTTCACAAAATATTTCTCTCACTGTGAAAGAACCATTTTTTTCTGATGGGGGGCAGGTCTTCTACTTACCTTTTGAAAAGCTGGAGGTGGCTGGGGGGGATGCCTTTTAATTTTTTTAAACTTTAAAACTGTCCCATGTGCTTCCACAATGCCACCCATCTTTTTGTGCGGTTTCCACGCCATTTTTTAAAAATAAACTTGCCCTGTGACATTTCAGCAGAAAATGGGAATGAGGAGCATCAATTTTCCCCTACCTGAATTGCCACAGGCCTGATCTGAATCGGGGCCCAGGCACTTACACAGAGGTAAGAATAGCAGAAGGCGAGATTTGCCCTCCGCGGAAGCCTCCCCATCAGGATCTGTGCGCAGCCCTGCACTGCTGGGCTGCAGTTCGCGTAAAAGCAAGAAATAAGGAGAGGAAGCCCCCCCGCACCTCTCACACTTCAAAAGGCACCCGGAACCCCCGCCCCCCCCGAGAAAACGACCGGGAATTCGCCTTTCCCCGGCCGCCCCCGCTCCCTGGTTCCGCGAGGCCTTCGGAAAGCCGCCCGCGCGACGCCCCCCCGGCCGCCCCCGCTGACCTCTGCAGATGACGCCGGCGTCCTCGTGGTGGCCGCAGTTGTGCTGGCCCCAGCCCAGGTGGAAGCAGTCGGCCAGGTGCGCCTCCGTGCCGGCGCAGGCCACGTTGTCCAGCAGGATGGGCCCCGCGCCGTAGCCGAAGTAGCCCAGCACGGTGGGCACGACGGCCGGGCCGCAGCCCACCTGGCGGCACACCACCTGCGCGTCGGGGAAGCCCCAGTCGTCGTCGCACACCGTGCCCCACGCGCCGCGGAACTGCACCTCCACGCGCCCCTGGCAGCTGCTGTTCCCGCTCGCCAGTCGGATGCCGCCACCTGCCGGGCAGTGGGAGGAGGGCAGCCGCGCGGGACCCCGGGCACGCGGCCCCGCCTCTGGGACTCGCCCCCGCCGCCCCGGGACTGGGCCAAAGTCCCCTCCGGGCTCCGTGACCGAGTGGGAGCAGCTCCCAGGTCGCACGCGCGTCCTCGAAGGCCCTTCTCTGCAGGGCGGCCTCCCATTTGGAGGAGGAGGAGGAGGAGCATGGACGGCGGGGGTGGACCTGGATTTCAGGGCCCAGAGGCGCCCCCCACGGTCTCGGGCGGGCAGCGGGGCCAGGGAACCCCTCAGCGCACGCCGTTTCCAGCCGTTGTCTTTGGGGATTTTGGAGCCGATGGCATGGCACACCAAGCTGGCACCCCCGAATCTTTTACCTGGAGACCCAATCAGTGCCCCACCCCCTCTTGCTGCAGGAAGCCCAGCGCCGCAGCAATCTGCTGCATCGGATCTCCCCGAGGCATGGCTTCTGCCCCCAGGCGTTTACCCTCCTGCCGCCCCCCCCCCCACGCCTCTTCCTGCCTGAGGTTTTTCCCTGAAATCGATGTGTGTCCTTGGTTTTGTGCAACGAAGCCTCAGAACCTTTGGGGACTCAGCCCTGCCCAGGCTGGCACACCAGGCCTCACTTCCAGCCCCAGAACTTACTTCTTTTCCCCCGCAGGAGACGGGCCGAGGTTACAGTCATCTCTGTCTCGGGGGAGTCCAGATCTTTGCCACCCTCGGCTGCAAAGAAATGTGTGTCAGAGCAGCATCCAGTCGGGTGCTCAGGGCGCGGGGGGTGCAGGGAGGTGGCCACTGGCCAGGGCTGTGCAAGGACCCAGAGTGGGAGGGAACCCACTACAATGCCCCCCCCCCGGTGCCAGCTGCCCCTTTGGCCCGGTGGGCAGCTGCCCCGCCCCGGTCTGACCATTCTCTGAGGGGGCCACAGGCCAGGCGGGCCGGCGGGTGCACTCTCGGCGTGCGGGCCTGCCCCCCCCCCCCCCCCCCCCCGCACAGGCCTTTCGATGCTTTCAGCCCAGCCAGCCCGAGCAAAGAGTGGGAATGCCGAGTGGGGAGAGTTCTATGGGAACAGCCCTCATTCCTGCAGAGGTGGAGGTGGCCTCGTGCTGTGCGGACGTGTGTATAAATCGGGGTGGCAGGAGGATTCGGCATTGATCAGATCTCTGGAAGTTTTGCCCCCATCAGGAAGGCTTTCTGACTCCTGATGGAACCGTGGCAGGTATGAAGCAACTCCCCACCACCAAAAAGACAGGAGGAAACGAGGAGAGGGTCTTTGAGTGGAAGCCGGCGAGGCCCATTTGGCCTGGGCCGGCACGAGCTCCCTGTTCACCTGAAGCAAGAGACAACGTGTGCCATCAGCCCCTCTCCAGCCACTGACTTGCTGCCATGCACCACACTTTGCTGCCACACTGCGGGGCTGGAAGACATGGACCCCCAGGTTGTGTGTGGTCCAGCTGGGTGTCTGCGGGTTTTCGGGAGCCACACTGTGCACTCCTGCAGCATCTCGCACAATCTCAGGAGCTGCATATTTATTATTATATTTATCCCCCTGGTTTTGCTCCTGCATGGAACCCGGCTTGCCTCGCACAGACCTCCTCCTCCCATTTCATCCCCACAAGCATCCTGCAAGGTAGGTTAGGCTGAGAATTGGTGGCTGGCAGGGGAAGTGGGTGCCTCCTGGATTGTCCCTGCAGCTTTTCTTTTCCCCTGCCCAGGAGGGATCCATGGCACACTGTGCTGGACACCCTATTTGGGGCTTGGCATCCAGCACCCCGGATCGCTCCCATGAAGCTGGAAAGAAAAGCTGCCGTGGGCACTGGACCCCACCTGTGGGAATCGCCCCCCCCCCACACCCCGGAGACTGGCCCAAAGTCCCCTCTGGGCTCTGTGACCGAGTGGGACCAGCTCCCAGGTCCCCAGGGCCTGGCCCAGCACTCGAGTGCAACGGCACAGAGGCCCGCTCGCTCTCGCCTGCCAGTGGCCCTCCGACTGCAGCACAGGCTGTGCGGGGACGACTGTGGGCAAGCGCCTCCAGGGCACAGACGAACAGAGGGGGCAGAGGCTGCAGGCCACTAGGTGCCTTTCCTTCACCTTAGCCAGGCAGGTGAGTTTTTATAGCTGTAGGACCGCCCTTCCTGGAGGCTGAAGTCTTTGATCCCATGTTCCCCACCCACGTGCTTCCGCCAGAGGGGCTGGACTGCGTCACCTCTCATTCCCAGACAGCATGGCCACTGTCCAGTCAAACTGGAGATGGGGAAGGGGGCCTTCATTCTGTGCGTCTGTTGTGCCAGGCCTCGGTTGGTGGCCGCCCGGATTCCTGCTTTTTGCAAAAAGGGGGGAAGAAGGCCCCACAAGGCTGACGCCTGCCCACGCCTGCCAGAAACCACCCCCGTGGGGTCTGGGGCTGGCAGGACAGGTGGCGTGATCTCCTTACCTGTGGCTGTGTTGGTGAAGGACTCCTCGTAGCTGTGGGCGCCTGAGGGGGTGGGGGCCGTGATCGTGGTCATCCCAAGCCCTGGCAGAGCGGAGCAGAGCAAACGGGGGTGTTGCGAGGTCGTGCCCCGTAGCAGGTTTCGAGCCCGACGCTGTGCCGTGGGGAACCCACTGTGGTGGCTCCCGCCCCGCCACTGGCCCCAGGGGCGCACCTGCCTGAGAGGGAAGCAGGTCCTCCTCCCCAGACTATCTGCCCACCTCCTGCCTGCAGCCTGCCCCCAATTTGCGCAGCTGAGACGAGGCCCTGGGCGCTGGGGGGGCTGCCACGGGGCCCAGGTGGCCTGGGGGCCTGCTCACCAGAGCAGATGGCCCCTGCGTCCTCGTGGTGGCCGCAGTTATGGATGCCCCAGCCGAGGCTGTAGCAGGACGAGAGGCGCAGCTCACTCCCATCGCAGTTCACATTGTCCAGGAGGATGTGGCCCGTGCCGTGGCCGAAGTAGGCATTGGTCCGGTAGTCCGTGGCATGGCCGCAGCCCACCTGCCTGCACACGACGCCCACGTCGCTCATCCCCCAGTCGTCATCGCACACGGTGCCCCAGTGCCCCCGGTAGAAGATCTCCACGCGGCCCTGGCAGGCGTTGGCGCCGCTCACCAGCCGGACGCTCCCGTCACCTGGAGGAGGCCAGAGAGACATCGGATCACTGGATCGAGCCGGAAGGGGCCAAGAAGGCCATCGGCCCAAGCCCTGCTCTTGAAGGACACCACACTACACCACCCCACGCAGGTGGCTGTCCGTTTTTGCCTTGAATGCCCCCAGTGTGGGAGAGCCCCCCACCTCTCCGGACAGCTGGTTCCACCGTCGTCTTGCTCTGACAGTGAGGAAGCTTCTCCTGAGGTCCAGCCTGAATCTGGGTTGCCGCAGCTTGAATTGATCATTCCATGGCCTACATTCTGGCATTAGCAAGAAGAGATCTTGACCTTCCCCTCTGAAGTACTTCTAGAGGGATATCATGTTCCCCCTTATCTTCTCTTTTCAAGGCTGAACATGCGCAGTTCCCTCAGTCTCTCTTCACAGGGCAGTGTGTCCAAACCCCAGATCATTTTTGTTGCCCTCCACTGGACCCTTTCTAAATTTCCTGCATCTTTCTTAAATCTTGGTGCCCAGAACTGGACACTATTCCAGGTAAGGTCTGACTAGTGAGGCGTACAGGGGAACTACTCCTTCTCGTGATTTGGAAGTCATACTTCTGATAATGCATCCCAAAATAGCATTTGCCCTTTTGGCGGCTGTGTCGCATTGGTGGCCCATGTTTAGCCTATTGGGCTTTCTCTGCGGTGGCGCCCAGTTTATGGAATGCGCTCCCCAGAGAGGTCCGCCTGGCGCCGTTGTTATTTGTTTTTCGGCACCAGACGAAGACCTTTTTATTCAAACGTTATTTTAATTGTTATTATTTATTTATTTTATTCTTTGGTCTGGGCAACTTAATTTATATTGTTAATTTATATTGTTTTATTGGACTCTATTTATTTATGGTTGTGAGCTGCCCCGAGGCTTCGGCGAATGGGGCGGCATAGAAGTCCCCTAAAGAAAGAAAGTCCAATGGGGTGGCATAGAAGTCCCATCCATAAATAAATAAATACATACATACATACATACATAACCACAATCACTCCGAGATCTTTTTCTTGTTCAGTGCTGCTGAGCCACGTATTCCCCATCTTGTCATTTGAACGTGCCCCCGCCCCACATCTGGGCGTTGGTGAAGCTGCACTAGGCAGCAAAACAAAATATATCCCAGTGTGGAGATCCCCCTTCGGCCTGCGTCATCTTAGGCTGCATCTTAGCCAGTGAAGCCTTTTCTTTCCTGTCTCCTGGACCCAGCAATAAGGGGTTTTCCTTATTAATAAGGGACTGTTTAATTTAGCTAATGGCTGGCTGTGCGATGCAGCTAATGCTTCTTCTAAGCATCCGCTTTGGCAGGAGCAAAAATGCCCAGGAGCAGTTCCTTTTAGGAAGGAGGTTATTACACAGATAAATGTTGTAGTGGAACAGTCTTTCATGCTCACTCTTTTAAATTATTCATTCCATGAAACTTTTAAATTATTTACTCCAGGCAACCAGTCTCATGGAAATTAATACATAAAAGGCAAAATGGATTCATAGGCCTTTGGACAACTTGAAGAGTGATATTGCAGAACATATAGCAACACTTTCGGCATTCGAATGGGAGCTGTCGATGCACCTTTTGAGCATGGAAACGTATTTGGCTATTTTGTTGAAGCTGGCGAAGAATTGTTAGAAAGTGGTAGGCATTTCATAAAAAACTTTTAGAAACTACAATGAAGAATTGAAAAAAATTATCCTACTCATTAGGATTATGATTATAATTTTGAGTGGTGTTATGAAAGCAGGCATGCAGAGCTCCTGGGCTGTGGGCCCAATCCAGCCTGCTGAGCTCTCCGACTTGGCCCACGGCCTCTGGGGCTGCTCACAGGGGCAGGGGGGGCTTTGGTGGGGCAGTGATGTCATTGGGTGTAGACGCAGCCAGGGACAATATCTGGCCCATGCTGGCCCTACATCCCATACTAAAATTTAAAAAAAAGAATGAGAAAGAAAGACAGACCGAAGGGATAATTACAAAACAAAATAGTGGTTATCCAGTGTGGAGGTTTTTAACATTAATATTTCCTTAGAATTTTGATCAAGCCATACAAACAAAGATCAAGCATGGAGATGGTCTCCTCTCCCTTCCTCAATATTCCACGTGGGCAAAAGTGGCTGGTATCTGATGTTGCTGATTGCAAATTCTGGGCAGTCCTCAGAGCATCCTATAAAAATCGGTCTGGTGCAGACTCTGGAGGAGACTCCCATTCCAATCCACTTATCAGAAGGCACAAATTGGGCATTTGCTTTGGGCCCACCCAATCCCTCAAACGTCTCTGTGTGGCTTTTGCATGGCCAGCCCCAAATCCTTCGCATGATTCTTCCGTTTCTCCATGCCTCATAATGCCTGCCCACCCGTCCTGCATCCCCTTGACTCACTCCTCCAAACTCACCTCTGGAACATTATTTCTAGATAAGAAAAGCAGGGAGGCGAGCAATACAATGTAGCAGGTCTGTAATTGCGGGTGCCCGCCCCATTCTGTTTCCCTGGTTTTGTTTTTATGGCTTTTGCAACCGCCGAGCATGCTCTGTCTTCCTTAAGGCACCCCTCTGGAAGTTTTTCAGTACTTTGGGGCAAACCTGGGAACCCCCCATCTTGTGCAAAGATGTCCTTGTGCCAGCAACACCCAGGACTGGCGCATGGAGAATTGAGGCTGCTCCAATGCGAAAAGGGGTGGCCTCCATGCTCCAATGCAGCTGAGCCCAAGTAGATTGTTTAGGCACGTGTGCATTGATTGGAGCTCAGTCCGTCTCCCCTCTAGTCTATCCTCACAACAAGCCTGTGAGGCAGGCGAGGCTGAGGGTCAGGGACTGAACCAAAGTCACCCACTGAGCTTTGTGGCCAAGTACAGTCTAGAACCTTGATCTGCCCAGTCCCAGGGCAACACTCTAACCACTAGGCCACACTGGTCTCAGGTATAACCAAACTAATTGCATGTTCTCCCTCCGTTTACCCTGCTTCTGTTTCCTTTATCTGCTTTTTCCAAAGAGCCATTTGCAGGACTGGAAGCCCCCTGGGGGCAGAGACCATTTTTTCTCATCCCTCATCAAGCATATGGTATTGCAGCAGTAATATTAATGCTAACTAATACAAACATATAGAGAAACTAATCCGTATAGCTACAGATGAGCCACAGTTACTCACGTTTCCCATTGTGGAAAGGGGTTGCAGTTGTTTTGCTGGCGGAGCCTCTTGCAAGGGTAGGAAATAGCTCTGCAAAGGGAAGCAAGATGGAAACATGAAACTCTGCATGGCTGCAGAGGCCGCTTCAAGATAGCAGCAGAATTATGTCTGCCTTTGAACTAAGCTGCCTTGGGAGAGGGTTTGCCCTGGAAGGTGACCAAGAAAGGCTAAAATTATTATTTTTTAAGTGCAATGCTGAGCCAAGTTTTATAAAATGGAACTCTCGGCTGAGAGAGGGCAGTGAACACAAACCTGCCCGATGTTTCCATCCCTGTAAAGATGGAGAGTAACTTTTAATAGAAATGGTGCACCATTAATAGAATGGCAGCCAACTTTGGACACCGCCCCCCGTCTGCACAGCTCTGGTTGCATGAAGCCTGGAGACGGCCTACATTTTGGGGGGAACAGAGCACAAGTGGGGAGGCATTCATGCAGCTTCCCGGTCTTTTAAGGCCGAGATAGTAAACTGTGCTTTGTTAATTGCGTGTGTGAAAATGTGGGGGGCAGGGCCCCCAACGCACCCACTGGCTACAGTCCCGAGTGCCCACGTGCCACAGGAGGCAGACCCTGAGTCCTTTCCCCAAGACGGGGGACCGTTGACGCCAACATCAGCAGGGCAGTGTATCCCCCCACATGGCGGGGATGCGTGGCCTCCACCCTCGCCGGAGCCGCCCACCCTGGGATCGCGGCCCACGGGGCCCAGCCCTCGCACCGTTGCACGTGACGGCCACGTCCTCGTAGTGGTAACAGTTGTGGATGCCCCAGCCAAGGCTGCTGCACGCGCTGAGCGACGGCTCCCGGCCCTTGCAGTCCACATTGTCGAGCAGGATGGGCCCGCGGCCCTGGCCGAAGAAGAGCGTGGCTGGCATGGCGATGGCGTGGCCACAGCCGAGCTGGCGACACACCACGTTCGCGTCCACGATGTCCCAGTCGTCGTCACACACCGTGCCCCACGTGTGGTTGTAGAAGATCTCCACGCGGCCCTGGCAGCGGCTGCGCCCGTTCACCAGCCGGACCTCTGGGGGGGAGGCGCCGGTCAGGGCCTCTCCGCCTTGCAGGAGGCCGCCGGAGGGCTGCCCAGGCATGTCGGGTGGCAGTTCCCATGGTCCCTGACCATTTGCAGGCTGGAAGGGGCTGATGGGAGGGGCCATCCATTGAGGAGGGGCCTAAAGGAGCGCCTGCGTCCATACGTGCCCTCCCACCCCCTGAGACCTGTGGCAGAGGCCCTTCTCCGGGAGCCCTCCGTGAAGGACATTAGGAGGGTGAGCACCCGGAGCAGGGCCTTCTCTGTGGTGGCGCCCCACCTCTGGAATGCGCTCCCCAGAGAGGTCCGCCTGGCGCCGTCGTTATTTGCTTTCGGCACCAGGCCAAGACCTTTTTATTAAAATGTCATTTTAATTGTTAATATTATTTATTGATTTTATATCTTCGGCCAGGACATCTCCAATTATATTGTTTTCTATGGTTAATTGTGTATTTATTTATTTATTGTTGTGAGCCTCCCCGAGGCTTTGGCGAATGGGGCAGCATAGAAGCTTGCTAAATAAATAAACAAACAAATAAAATCAAATCCAAGGCATCGCCCTGCCCTGCTTCTGGGGCAACTCTCCGTGGAGCAGAGTGCCACACTTTTCAGCCCAAAGGCCAAATTCCATTTGAATTCTCATTCTGGTGGGAAAACGGGGAGGGGCAACGTGCCAGAAATGGCAGCTTGGCCCACCCGAAAGCGATTTTTTCCGAGGAACTGAATGCTCAGGAGAGACAATCTGGTCTTTTGGCGTGAGGGGAGAACGGCAGCTGAGCGGGAGGAGTGGTGAGGAATAAGGCAGGGTGGTCTGGGGGTCAGGTTTGGCTTCTGCGAGGGATGGATTGGGCCCGTGGGCGCCAGGCTCACACCCCTGGGCTACGGGCAGCAAAACTGCCCCATGAGAGATTCTGTGCTGCGCTGCCACTCCAGCCATCGCGGAGCCAAGACGGCTGCTGAGAGCCAGGCATCGCCATCAGCGTGGGAATGAAGCAGGATCCCATTGCCTGCAAGGGAAAGGCTTCCCAGGCTGCCTGCAATCCGTCCTGTGGGGTTATCAGGACTGTCGTCTTCACAGCAGAACAAGCAGAGGGGTTAAAAATGGCAAAATTCCCCCATAGCCTGTTGGTTCATGACGGCTCCCAGGGACTCGGGATAACCCCAGACGATAACCCCATGGGGGGCTGTCCCAGAGGGCTGCCCCACTGCTGGAGAAAAACCCCCACTTGGGCCCTGCTGCTCCAGGCACTGTCTCACGACCCGCCTTCCCAACTCTCCGTGACAAACCGCAAATCACGGCTTCTGAATTCACAAAGCCGCAAGAGCTGGTTTAATATTTCCACCTGTGCATGAGCTCTCACCAGGAATGGGCATCTGTGTCGTTTCGGAGCCGCCCGCTGAAATGGAAGAGACGGGGATTAATTATCTGCTTTGACCTGTAGGGGGCGCTGGGCTAACGGAGCCGGGCGGCCAGAGGTGCTGCGCCAGCCCTGCTTGCCAGCTGAGAAGCTGATAGTGTGCCGTGGCCCCTCCATTTCCACTGTCGATGACAATCAAAACACGCCAGAGGGATGACCACCAGTTTGGAGGGCTTTCAAAGGGACTGGGCGCATTCATGCAGCTCTCCATGCTGCTAGTCCTCATGGGGCCACGATTCCTCCGTCATCCGAGGCAGTGTGCCTGTGTGCACCATCTGCTAGGGAACGTGGGCTTTTGGGTTGGCTGCTGTGTGAGCAGAAATGCTGGAACCTCCCCCCTCCCGGTATTCTGGGCCCGATCCTGCAGGGCTCTGTTTCTCTGTTTCTATGTTTCTACTCCACCCCCTGAATAACCACAAGCAGAGAGAATGGGGGCATTTACTGAGATCTATTGGAACATGGGGCTCTTGAGGCCATGATATTGTGTTGTAAGCCGCCCCGAGGCTTCGGCAAGGGGCGGCATAGAAATGTTCTAATAATGATGATGATGATGATGATGCCCCCCTAGCCAAGGAGGACGGCCCAAGTGCTTGCTTCCAGAAAGCCCCCCCGAAGAGATAGAAACATAGAAACAGAGCGAGTCAGAAGGGGCCTCCTGAGCCATCTAGTCTGACCCCTGGCTCCAGCCAGCTCCGCTCAAGACATGCCTATGTAAAAAAGATCCAAGTTGCTCATTCCGGCTGCAGAATAACGAGAGCCAAGCCCTTTTAGCATCCCAGGCAGACACTTCTGAAATGCAGTGGTGCCTCAGGGGGTGGAACCCCAACTATTCGGAAATAGGCAGCACCCTCCCGTTTGACTCTGAGCTGTAGCAGAGCAGACCAGCGCCCAGGGGGACAAACCCAGGAAATCTGGCAGGTTCCCACCCCCAAAAGAAGTCCTTAAATATCCCTTGTCTCGGTGCCTCTTCCCTCCTCCTCCTCCTCCCCTTCATCAATCTGGCTCAACTTTTCCATGGTTTTGGAAGGCCTTCCTGGACTAGGAATGCCCCCATTCCAACCCCATAGCAGTTGCTGCCACCGGGAGCGTCCCCCTCTCCCTCCGTCCTCGGCTGAGTCAGAACCAAGTCCCCCGACTTCCCGGGGTGCCTCTGCAAAAAGTGTCCAGCCTTTCATGGCGCAACTTCTGTATGCACATGGTGAGCATGTCGTGAGCGGAGCCGGCTGGAGCCGGGGGTCAGACTAGATGGCCCGGGAGGCCCCTTCTGGCTCGCTCTGTTTCTATGTATCACCTGCTCAGCGATGGGAACCCTTCCTGAAGGGCACACTGGCGTGGCCATTCCAACAGCCCCTGATGGCCACAGGCTGCCCACACCTGGCCTGGACATAACTCAGTGCTTGGACATCCCTGAGCAGGGATCCCCAGCCGTTTTGGACAGGTGGACCCTTGAGTCTCGTGGGCACTCCCACAATATGGCTGCTGCAGGAGTCCTGGCCCGTCACAGCACTCCTGATTTCCAGAAGTCTCAAGGACAAGTCACTTGCCCAGGACTGAAGCCCGAGACAGAGGAGGTCCGAATGCGCGGAAACGCTCCTCCGGATGTGCGGCTCTCTGCAACAGGATTTGTTTCATCGCAAGTAGGTGATGAAGGTCGGAGCACAGGAACGTGGCCAAGAATGTCATGGGAGGCCCAAAGCCCTTCTGGGAAAGGAAGGTACGTGGCCCTGACAGCTGCCTTTGCAGCATGCTGGAGAACCAACGTTTTTTTTTAATGCAGCAAACAGAAAGAAAATTTCCAGGGACAGAGAGCCAAGAACCGCTGAAGGTTCTGCACAAGCATCGAGCTGGAGGCGTGACGGCAGACTTTTGCATTGTACCAGCGCAAAAGGCTCCCAGCAGCCGAGCCGCTGACGTGATCTGGGTGCCTGTTCCCTGGCGGACAGAACTGGCTTCGTGTCCGCATGTCTGAATCCATTCCCAGGATCACTCAGTGCGGATTAGATACTTGACACTTGTGCAAGTGGAACTTGCCGTGGCCCAGGCTGAAAGCTGGAGGTGGCTTTGGGGTATTTCAAAAAACGTGTTGTTGAAGCTCCTAGCCTGGATTTGGGGTTTGTGTGCCCCACTTCCCCAAGGAGCAAGGGGACCGCAGGCTTAATCTGGGTGCGATTTCCTTCGGACAAGAGATTTCTGAGGTCCCATTCTAATATTTATTTGACTTGCAAAAATGCAGCACAGTGAGCTTCTTCCAAATATCCCAGGACATCCCCATTAAATCCAATTCCAAATCAGACCTCACAGGTGGACTTCAGCTGCCACTGCCTCTGGCTGGAGTCAGACAATCCGACAACCTACACTCTGGCGTTGAGTACCAGTCGAATGCGGGTTGTTGCTGAAAGGTGGGTTGTGTTGGCTGAACCAGCCAGTCCCAGCTTTCAGAAGCCAGCCTTGCATTTGTTCCTGGCACAGTGGCCCTTCTCTGGAGCTCCATGTGTTTGGACTTTGGCAGGTGTTCAAGGCCAGGAGACCCCGGCTCTGCAGAGGTTGGGGGAGAGGAGCCCTTGGAAAGAGGCAAGGGGGTTTATCTCAACGCCGCTCTCTCCAGGGACTCAGGCAGACCTGGAGAAGACCTAGCTGGAGTCTGCTGGGAGGAGGTGGAGCAAGAGCGCCAGGACACGGAGAAGCTGGTCTGGTTCTTGACACCGGGACACAGCATTGGCAGAGAAGGGCTAGCCAGCTAGAGGGCCTGCCGAGAGCTAGGAAGCTGGCCTGTCACCAGAAGGGCAAGCCCAGAGGGGTCCAGGATTACTCAAAAGGAGGGTCCTTGGGAGTAGTTTCTAGTTTGAGTTCAATGAACCACTCTGTGCATGCTCAGAGGCACTTTCTTTGCTGATTATGCATTACTGAATGTCCATTGGAGAATTAAGAGCTTTTGCCATAGACCAGTCTGTGGTTTTGAGGATATGAAGGGTCCTGACACTACGTGATGTACCTGTTGGAAAATGTACCTGTTGGGAAAAGGTAGAGGAGAAAGGCCAGTGTCAGCCGGATCACCAAGGCAGGGGGCACCCGGAGTCCAGGCCTTGGATCTCTCTTCCTGTGTCCTGGATGGGAACCAATGTTCATTTCTGCTTCTCGCAGGTGCCGCGGAAGATCTTCCAACAGTTTCCCGCGGGATGACTGCAGAGGCAGCCCTGAGACATAAAGGTAAGCGGCAGGTGAGTGCCTTTCTCTCATGATGTCAGAGCCATAACAGATGCAATACCAATTAGCTTGATGCATTTATCTGCCTGATTTGTAACTCCAGAACCCAGCGGGGATGTCACGGGAAGCTGAATGAGGGATGTTTGTGCTGGAGCTCGCGAGGAGCACGCCGTGACCGGGCCCATTTCTGTGCCCCCAGAGCACGTCCGCCCACGCAGGCAACACCCTTGCTGGGCACCAACAAACCAGGCTGAGGACTTTTGGCAAAGCTCATGGGACATCATGGCCCATTCCAGACCAAGCCAGTCCCCCTAATTCTTGGCATGCAGTGGAGAAAGATCTTTTCTGGCTGGGAAGACCCATTTCCCCTCAGCCACTGTGTGGACAGCACATGAGGTCAGAGGAAACTGGGGAGTCTCAGCCAAGGTGGGGGGCGTCAGGGTCTGGGCAAGAAGGCGGCCCTGGAGTTTCCATGGTGTGAGTGCTGGCTTTGCGAGCCCTTTGGGAACCAGAAGACTGGACCGGGGAGCCTGTGTTTCGGTCCAGCAGAGTTCATCTTAGATACCCAACGCTGGAAATAGCTGAATTTACAGTCCCTCTGCTTACAAAAGACGCATGCACGCTCACAATTATGACCAATCTTCCGTGAGTTGGTCAAGTCCTCTCTGGAAAGTGGCCAGCATCCCTGCAGTAAATGTGATCAACTCGTTCTACCTGATGTGAAGATAAGAGAGTCTTCATTCGGTCTGTCAACCTACTGAACATCAGTTCCAGGGGCAGATGATCCTAAAGTTCCCCCATCCACTTTCCTCATGTCATTTTATGTGCCTCTGGCCACCATTTCTTCCCCCAAGCTAGAAATATCCAACTTTGACAAAGTGCCCCATGATATCCTGGTGGAGAAACTGAGGAGTTTTGGGATAGACCAGAGCACTGTCCGGTGGATTAGGGCATGGTTGACTGACTGAAAGCAGAGGGTAACCATTAATGGGGAATCATCGGGATGGCGGCCAGTGACAAGCGGGGTCCCCCAGGGCTCTGTCCTGGGGCCGATCCTGTTTAATCTTTTCATAAATGACATAGAAGGAGGGGTGAACAGTCTGCTGATCAAATTCGCAGACGACACTAAAACTGGAGCAGTGGCCACAACTGAGGAGCAGGTACTCCAGATCCAAAAGGATCTGGACAGACTGTGGAAGTGGGCAGGAAACAACAGGATGGCGTTCAATGTGGATAAGTGCAAGGTCTTGCACTTGGGGCATAGGAATAGGTGTCATAAGTACAGGTTAGGGGACAAGCGGCTGGAGAGCAGCACTTGCGAAAGGGACCTCGGGGTGCTGGTTGACTGCAGGCTGAACATGAGCCAGCAGTGGGATGCGGTGATCAAGAGGGTGAACGCCACCCTTGGTTGCATAGCCAGAAGTGTGGCTTCCAGATCGAGAGAGGTATTACTACCACTCTATACGACTCTGGTGCGCCCGCAACTGGAGTATTGTGCTCAGTTTTGGGCCCCTCATTACAAGAAGGATATAGCCAGGTTGGAGTCAGTGCAGCGTAGGGCCACAAGGTTGGTGACCGGTTAGCAGGGGAAGCCGTATGGGGCAAGACTGAGGGAACTGGGTCTCTTCAGCCTGGAGAAGAGGAGACTCAGAGGGGATATGTTGGTGACATGCAGGTATGTGAGGGGATGTCACATGGAGATGGGTAGAGACCTGTTCTCCCCTGCAGAGGAAGGCAGGACATGCTCCAACGGAGCAAAGCTCAGGGAGCCAAGGTTCAATTTGGATGCCAGGAAGCACTTCCTGACAGTCGGGACCCCAAGGGTGTGGAATGGGCTTCCACGGGAGGTCGTTGAGACCCCATCGGTGCGGGTGTTCAAAGATAGGCTGGACGTCCACATGGTGGGCATGTTGTGAGCGGAGCCGGCTGGTGCCGGAGGTCAGACTAGATGGCCCAGGAGGCTCGTTCTGACTCGCTCTGTTTCTATGCTTCTGTGTAACTATTCAGTTGTGCCATCCTTTCCTGCATATTGTACAACTTGACAATACCCTTTCCGAGGTGCAGTGAACAGCATTTATTTATTTATTAGATTTATATCCTTTTGAGGAACGCAAGGTGGCTTCCATCCCTCCTCCTGAGTGCCATCTTATCCCCACAACAACAACCCTGTGAGGTAGTCTGGGCCAAGAGTCTGTGGCTGGCCCAATGTCACCCAGTTGGCCCCATGGGGGGCCTAGAACCTGGATCACCTGAGTCCCAGTCCTACGCTCTTAACCCCGATCCCATACTGGCTGTCAGTTTTCCCAGCATCCGTGGAAGCACGGACTGCCAGAAAGCCATCACGAAATCAGCACTGCTGCTTTCAGTTGTGTATTAATTGTGCCTGCAGTGGAGTTTGGCTTTTTTCACAGCAGCCGGGTCAATAAAGGGCCAATAAACTCACGTCCCTTTCCTGGTCAGCCACGGCCACTCTGTCTGTTGGCCACCCAGAGAATCATCTTGGCCAATGGGTGGGCTACACATTTAGTAAGCAAGCAAGCAAATAATAAATGGGAGTTGATGATTTAGTGTCCTGATGTGACTCACTGCCTGCTTCCCACCAAACAAGGACATCTGGCCCCTGAAACTCCGTTTCCCCCATTTGGAGAGATGCTTTGAACGTTTTCTGCCATCCTAAACACCCTGATTACCGTAACATCATCAGCCAGTGTGGCTCCTCACAGGGTTTTGATGAGCAGGAGCATTAGCTCTCTTCCCCTCCCTGCACCACCAGCCCACGCTTTACAACAGCCTCTGCTCTCTTGATACATTACACCCGGGAGCCCTCACCGAACCACATACCTGCTTGCCAGCCCTGTCTTTAAACAGAAGCAAAAGATTCTGAGCACGCTAGCTCCACATTTGAAACTAACCCAAATCATGTGGACGAGACTAGAATGGAGTTTCCTTTTGCTGCCTTGCTGTGGAACACATTTCTTGGAAAGAGGCACCATTTAGTTCTTAAAAGAACAAAGCATATCAGATGGGCCTTTGGCCTGCTCTTTTTTCCTCTTCCCTCCCCATCACTTCTTCTTTGTGTGTTGTGTCTTTTTAAGATGGCAGGTCCACGGTGGGGATTGTCAGGTTTAAGTGACTGTATGTCAGGCCGTCTAGGAGTGTTTCTGACTGGGAAGCAGCATAAAAACATGGTAAATAAATGTGCTCTTAACCTGGTGACTTTCTGATGTTTTTCCACTTCTCCTCCTATCAGCCCCCACCAGCATAGCCAACAGTAAGGGATGGTGCCCTTAACCTCAGGATCCCCCCAGATCTACCCTAAACACATGCGAATGTGCCAGCATTAACCCCAACACCTCCCCCGCCTGTGCATAGCATAGCATAGCGAGATCCATGGATGAAAAATAATCTAGTCTGTAAGTTTGTGTGTCTGAATGCCCCATTCATCCGTTGCAGTGCACGGCTCCTCGGCAAATAATGTTGCCTTTTGTCCCAGGGGCCCCGTCTGCCTCCCTCTCTCCTGCCATTTGCTGAGAAAAATGGGCTGATGGCAGATGAGACGGTTGCTTGAGCCAAGAGCAGGTACCCGTCCGGGCAACAGGAAGGTGTGTAGTTCAGCTTGCCTCGTTCTCTCTCATTCTCTCTCTCTCTCTCTCTCTCTCTCTCTCTTTGAAATTCTTTGAAGACCAGGGTCTCCACCTCTGCAGCGGTTTTTATGGCAAGGAAGGAAGGCTGAAGAAAACCTATCAGCAACTTTGGATTTAAAGATGTTTTCCTCTCCAGTCTCGTGATCCACCTATATAATAAATATGATGTCTTTTCTGAGCATAAACTTCCCAGAAAACAAATTAGCTACCTGGCTTTAGGGATAAAACATGCACAGAGTGTGGATTAGCTCCGGGTTACCTGACCCCTCCCAAGTAAATTAAGGTGGAGAGGTTTTTTTCAGCATTTACAATGGTATTTCGGTCCGCCAGCCACCTGGATGGGAAACTAGCAATGGCAGAGTGGGGACCTGAACCTGCCTCCTGGAGAATCCGGGTTTCCCTGTCTCATGCACTTCCCCAGAGCTTCAGCATCTCCGCTTCACAGGGCCAGGGGAACTGCCCTTGCATCACTAGGCACGTTCTGCGCCAGCCTACAGAGCTGCTCCAGCCTGCAGCTCCTTCAGCAGCCATGCTTTCTCCTCTTATCTTTGCTCCAAGGAGTAAAACTCCACAGGTGTCCTCTCTCAGTCTATCCGGGCCCTAAATAAGGACCAGCTGGTTTCCAATCTCCCTTTTGCGGGTGGGTGAAGTGACCGGTCTCAGTGTAGCTCAGGGGTTTCCGGATGAAACCCTGCAGGTTCTTTGGTGCATCTGGCTTCCAAATGGATTTTTTTTACACCGCCACCTTGGTTCTCAAGGGGACGTCACAGTAGCTTTTGGTACCAACAAAATCATGGGATACTTCAAGGTCACCTGAAGGGGGTGGAGGTTAGAGAGGCCCCTCATGCCACCATTGGCTAAGTGGCATGGATTAGGGATGGATTTCCACAGATCCAAAGGACGGATCTCATGCAACCTTTCTGTCAGTATTTTCTATTAATTGCAGATCTTTGCTGGATTGCAACAGACAGAATCGAGCATTTATGTTCCAGGGAATTAGCAGGGTCAATACCAAAGGCTAAAGGTCGGCAGGTAGCCCAAACACAGCGAGAGCCAGAGGAAATCTAAGCTGGCAAGGAAATGCAAGGTGAAGAGCTGGTGTAAGACGTCCCAGTGCTCCGTGCCAAAAGCTGCAGGCTCGCTAAGCTGAGTCTGCAGAGACAAACGTGTTATCAGTCCCATCTGAGATGCGTCTAGTCCTGGGCTTGGTTCCCAAATGTACTTTTACTCATGAGGAATCCCTATTCCTCAATCCAGCATTTCTGTGTCTGGCAGCCG